TAATTTTCTATGAACTAGCAGCTATGATTACTTTTCTTACTTTTAGAATTGCTACAACTATAAAGTCTCTAACAATTACAGATTTTTTTACTGCTTATTTCGCGATCCTCACTTCTATGGACCGCTTGTTCCCCTCTCACTTTATATTAATTTATACCAAACTCTATTATATTATAATCATTCACTTCATTTTCATTAACCCACAATTAACTTTGCCATTATCCATTCTAGTCATGGCATTATTTTCTTTTGCTTTATTTCTTATTCATCCAATTTTGTATACGATTCTTTACCTGTTTCTTGTTTATTTTTTTTTGAAAATGTTGCATTGGTCACTTTTACAGCTTATCCAAAATTGGGTTTTTGTTTATTACAATGTGCAATAATGCGGCCAATCACAGATTGTGAAAAAGAAGTAATTGAAGAGTGGATATCTAAGCAAGATCACACTATTTGCTTTTATGCAACGAATATTGGCACAAATCATCATCCCAACTTTTTACTTCAGTATATATCCTTATCTAAAGATGGGCATAAACTTTCTAAAGAGCCTAAAGAATTAAATTCTTTCAGAGAATTGGTATTTTACCTTATTCATAATTGGCATTTTGGGAAATCTCAAAAAATTGTTCGTGTAACTCTATTCAAAGATGCAGTAGAAACTTAAATTACAGCATGTTGTAATATTAGTATTTACTTTATTATTGCAACATATCAATATAGTCGAACATATCGTAATTTTTTATGTGTTATGACGATGGTTGAGAAATAGAAGACTGATACATAAAACTGTTCCGTGTTATTACTAGTTCAGATAATTAAAGTATATGATTTTTGATTAAGTTAACCACCTTTAGACTTCTAATTGAAGTTGTAGAGCTTGTTAAAATGAATTTAATAATGGTTAAATTATTAAAATCAACCTAGTAAATTATGAGATATCTTTAAAAAATATTTTACTAACTATGTAAATTTTATTTTCAACAATAGTATTGTTGAAAGAGAAGTTTATATAGTTAATGAAATGTTTTTTAAAAATATCTTGTAATCTACCAAACTGATTTTGATGATTCAACTACTATTAGATTCATCTTAATAAGCTTTACAACTTTAATTAGAAGTCTAAAGGTGGTTAATTTAGTACAAAAAAAGTTTTAAAATAATGCAGCCCATATTTGCAAAACCTTAATTTCTATATATAAACCATGTCACATTATACTAAAACTTCTCTTTAGTTGACTAGTAAATCACCAATTAAGTAGATATTGTCTAATTAATAATATAGTATTTCTAGCAAGCAGTAATATTTAAAATATAGTTTCTACTTGAATATTATTGAACTTAATTAATAAAAGATAATTAATAAAGAATATATAAGCTTTGCTGATATAAATTTTATCCAACTCTTTCTGCTAATTATCAAAACACAAATTTTTGAAAACAAAAACTATAAGTAATATACAAAGAATACTAAAAAATCAAACTTAGAGCTTTAAATAAAGAGGAAGAAAATT